CCCCCCCCCCCCCCCATCAACAAATCCCATCGCCTTGTCAAAGAAGGAAATAGTTATGCATGACTTGCTCTTAACATTACACTATCACTGTCCTTATCTGCTTAGAAACAGATTCTAGAAGATATGCTCCCATATTTTTCTAGGTATCAAGGTCAGACTGATGGGGCAGTAATTCACAGTCTTCCTTATTCCCTTTTACAAATATGAACATTATATTTGCCCCTTTCTAGTCATCTGGGACTTCACTTGTCTTCCATGAGTTGTCAGAAATAATAGGCAATGGTTCTGTAAATACCTCAGTCAATTCCCAGAGTACTCTCAGATGAATCTCATCCAGCCTTGATGACTTAAATCCTCGTTTCTCTAAGTAGTCTCTAACCTGTTCTTTCTCTAGGTTGATTATGTTCTGCCTTAACCTTACTGCTAACTGTGCCTTTCTGCTGAAACCTGATCTTTTTTTGTAAAAACTGAAATAAAAATGCATGCAACTAGTCAGCCTCCTCCACATCATTCCTTACTACATTTCCCCTCCCCATTCAGTAAGGAACCTATACTTTCCTTGGATTTCATTTCTAACATACTTGTAGAAGTACTTTTATTGTCTTCTATGCCCCTTGTTATCCATATCTCAATTTCTATTTTGGACTACCTATTTTCTCCCTACAGGCCTGTATGTATACATGTGTGTATCCGACTAATGTTTTTGTTTTTATTTTATGCTATATATAACACCACCAAATATGGTAGTGTTAGAACTGTTAATAAAATAATGTTAAGCATTTAAACATCACATCCACCAAAGGGCCATAAATACTCTTTATACACATAAATGAATTAAGCCATTTAACATTTTATGAAGTAGCTATGTTACATATTATCAGCACTTACAGATAAGGTGACTAAAGCCGATTTTCATGAATGAATTGCTTAGTGTTCCACAATTAAAACACTCAGAGCCAGAATTAAAGTCCAGCTCTCCTGCCTCCTAGTTCTGTGTTTAACCACTAGACTGACTTTTAATACTTCTTATTGCCCAAGAGATAATGTATGCATAGAAATAAGATGATAGAAAGTTGAATACTGAGAATACTTTTAGTAAGAGCAATCCTGTTGTTTTATAAAATTATCATTAAAACCCACCTGCCACCTTTTCCAGCTGCCAAAACAGCTTCATTAGCCAGGCATGATGCAGTTTCATCATTGTACCAAAACTGGCTCAGTTGCTGGGGAGAAGCGAAAAAAAAAAATCACAGGTATTAACAGTAGAGATCCTTCTCACTGCTGTGTACAACAATTAGCTTTCGTTAACTTGTCAGACTGTTTCAAGAAAACCAAAAATCCAAAGCAACCTTTTAGTTCATAAACTTCACTCCTGCAATTCTCAATAACTCTTACTGATCTGAAAAACAGATTTCTTTCCCGACAGCCCCCTTATTTCCGCAATAAAATGTTTGGATGTGACAGACTGATTAGGTTACACTTACATGTTCGTCATGCATTGTCTACTACAGCAGCATTTCCCTAACTTTTGGGGGCTATGTTCTACCAGAATGAAGTCAACCATTCTTGGGCTCCCCCTTATTTCCCCTGTCTCCACTTCCCTTCACCACCACTGGCCGCTGCTCCTCACCCCTCCCCTCCACCTCCTGCTGCTATCTTAGCTTTGCTTCCCCCACCCCATAACCTTCTGCACCTCCCCAGGTGGGCTGTGTGCCACAGTTTAGTAAATGCTGTACTACAGTATCTGAAGTCAACCCGTCTGGAATTAAACTTTAAAAAAGGATATCTACTTTTCTCTAGGTATCTCCCCTGCCCCATCAATTTCAATTAGTACCTAAATGGGACAAAAAAAATTGCAGCCAGCTTCACTGACAAGTCAGGACAACCCTGTGATGCTGACATGAATGATATGGAAATTATAGGATTAGATTTCCCCCTCGCCTGGAAATGTACTGTTTCCATGTCTCCATCCCTTTTCCTATATTACTGCTCCTCTCTAACTGGTCACTATTACTAATACACTTCATTTTCTGAAGTTGTTTCTTACCCAGTCCTCCTCAACTGAGCCAACAGAATAGTGATTAAAATCTTCAGAGGTCTTCATGCCCTCTCTCTGCTGTTGTTCTATATAAAACTCCTGCAGGGCAGCTAGAGTATGAGATGAAAGCTGAGGGATATCATCATCATCGTCACCCATTTTCCAGCTTTAATGAGAAGCATTTAATATTAGGTCAAACTTTTTAATGACAACAGTATTTAATAAAGGCCCATTCACTCAAAATTAAACAAACACTGACATACCTGCTACCTAGAACACTGATAAGCCTCACAGCTAGGAACCAACACAAGAAATCATCTTTCTCTTTCATTCTAAGGGGGGACACTGACCTGAGCAGTGGAAGCTGGCTGCACTTCTTACCACGGCACTGTTCTTAGACCTCACAACCCTAAACCCTCATATTCTATTTCTATCAGCTTCTAGTTTATAAGTCTTTGTTACACTTTTCATGCAAGACGACATACTGCTCTATCCTTCCCACCTAAAAATGATGCAAGTGCCTCTAAATAATTAACTAGTTAATGCAGTGGTGTGGTAAAGGAACAGTTAAGGTCACATAATTTCTGTCCTTGAGTAAGCCTCCCACTTATCTCATGATAACCTTCACATTACATAAAGATTTCTCTGAATGCTGAGAAGTCCTCCATAAACTAAAGCAAAGCAAGTAAGAGGCTCTGGAGAGGTCTTCTCAGATGCCAGTGCTTGGCTAGAAATCTGAATAATCTGCATACACATATATGAACAAGAGTGTAAATGAAATAAAAGACACACTGGTCATAAGCTGGGAAGGCTTGGCTTGTTTATAAACAACATCAAAAATCTCAACTGAGTTACATCATGTTGGTCTGCTTCCCTTGACTCTATTCATTACTCTCTGTGAAGTTCAAGGCATTTGTGATATCTAAGGGATGAACTAGAGTAGTGGTTCTCTATCTCAATGGCCTCAAGGCACCCTCCATAACTTGTCTGAATTTCATGGCACCCTGCTTCAGGATCACTGAACTAGAATCTAAATTCAGATATGGAGGGGTGCCTTCGGGCTAAAAAGGCTGTGAACCACCCATCTAGCTGGTGCCACATACGGGTGCTGGGGGCAAGACCCAACCCTGCCATGCCCTACTGTTTCCACTATCTGCCCTTTTCCAGTACTCCCTCTTCCCTCCCAGGTCTGTACCCAAGGGAGCAAGGGCAGGCCCCCGCTGCTGGGACTGCTCTCATATCCTAGTGAGAACCTTTTGCTTAGCTGACCTAAAAGCAAAGGATAATTCCTTGAGAATAAATCTCAAAGGTAACATAAAGCTGGAGAAAATATCAGGTACTAAGCAATTCTTTAATTTAAGCCATAACAAGACCAATGGTTGGAAGTTAACAGCAAAACAACTTAAATTAGAAATGAGGCAAAAATGTAACGGTGAGGGTGAATAACCATTGGAACAAATAACCCATGTAAGCAGTGGATCCAACCAAGACTAGATTTATTTTTGGTAGGTATACTCTAGTCCCAAAGTGGCCTACCTTTTTGGCAGGCATGTCACCTTCTCCTCAGCAGCATACCTGATCTGGTTTGTGCCCTGGGCTGCTGGAACGAAGGTGGGGGAGCCAGAGACTCTAGCCAACAACCCACGTTCCTGAGTGGCAGGCAACTCGCAACAGGAGGTGGTGCTGCAGGGGTGCATGGTCGCAGGCTCCAAATCATGAGCTTTAAACGGTTCACGGGGAACCCTGGTCAGTCTTGGGCTGCTTCCAAACAAGGAACTTTACAGGGCTGGCAGGTAGCCTGATAATACCAGAGACAGCTGCTGTAGTTGGAGACCAACGCTACCTACCCAGCCCGTGACACCACTTCAGTCCTACCCACATTGTGACAAACAGCGTGAACATGTAGCTAGATGCTGTACCTTGCACTAAAATACGGCAGGGCAAGTATAACATCTGCCTAAGCCCTTAACTATGTTACCCATATGAAGCGTGGATATGTGCTTGCTTAGCAAAAGAACAAAAGGGGGGCATGGAAGACAAATATATAGTTGAGAAAAGGTTACGATTAAACAGAGGGCACAGTAAAGAGTATTTTATTGCTTTAAGTTGCAGCAGGGATGGTGGCAAAGTATTTTTCACTGTGGCTGATGGACTTAGCTCTCAGGTTATTTAGTGCTGAAGACAGAGAGCAGCATCAGATGCCTCAGATAGAAGGTACCATCCTGACCAGGCATGACGACCAATGTGGAGAAGACGCATGGCATGAGACCCCACGCGCTATCCAGCCAGTGCTGTACTGACCGCTATCAACACAAGCACGAGTCAGCAGCGCCCCCCGCCCCGCAGGGAGAGCTGTGCCCAGCCCAGCCCGGGCCGGCACCAGCCCGCTCCGCCTCCGACAGGCCACTGACGTGGGAGGTGCCAAAGCACCCGCTCGCCCAGGGTACCATCCCCCCGGGCGGCTCCGCGCGCCCCGTCCGGCCTTAGGGCTGCCACGTCCCTGACCCCGCGCGGACCTCAGCCCAGGGCCTGGGGCCGCGCGACACTGCCGCCTCCCAGGGGCCCCCGCGGCGGGACGTCACTGCAGCCGGGGTTGGGGGCAAAACCATCCCAACTAGCCCGGGCCCCGTCGCCCCTCAGCTGCCGCCGTCGCCACTCGGGACTTGCATCCCCCCAGTCCTCATCGACGGCGGCCGCAACCCCCCCGGCTCACTCACCGCCGGCGCCAAAGGCCGCGGCCCAGGAGGCAGACTGGCAGCCTCCGGCCGCGTTGCTCGGGTTGAGGGAGGGGCCAACCCCGCCCCCATGGAACGTAACGGGGCTGTGAGCTGCCCAGCCATTGGCGGCCGCCGCT